TCATAACATTTCAGGCAGAGAGTTAGCACCATAGATTTTTTTAAAAAAAGACTTAAGTAAGGCTATAATATGACTTCCTTTTTTCATAGGGCGAGATACACCAGATCTAGCCTTGAACAGCTAACTTGTGGCTCCCAGTATTTGGTACTTAAAGAGAATGTTGGTCAGGGACGTTAGGAGAGAGATGGGGAGCTGATGGACCTTTTCCCAGCCATCACTATCCCCTTCCCAGCATGGCTCCCAGTCACTTTTCCTCTTCTTGTCCTCCAACCACAAGACTAAAAAGGAAGGACTGATCTCCCACTCATCATTTCTTTCCTGAAAATGCCCACCTCTGCATTCAGGTTTATATTTAAGCACAGGTGTTTTTTTTTGGGGGGGGGATTTCTGATGTGCTTGACAGAAATGTGATAGACAGATCCTGATGTGTTAGACAGAAATAAAACAACCACCTGATCATATACATCTCACAAAACTAAATAAGATTACTGACCTCTTTGCTTTTTTTAGAGTTGCTGGACTTGAATGTAAAGAGATGGCGGGGAACTGGGAGAAGATGTAATTGTATGGAGGAGATCGCCTCATCTATTCTCCTGTTAGAGTTTCAAGGGTCTGTTCTCCAAAGCTGTACATTTGTAGCAATAGAGACCCAGAGGGAAAAATCAAAGCAGCTCCTGAACAAGATGCCTACACCCACAAGGGAGATTGTGCTGCCCTGGTCCCTCCAAGGATAGTTTGCAACCTTTCATTGAACACTGAAAGCTGGCACTGAAACCAAGCCAAGCAATGGGTTCCAACAAATGGGAGTCAGCAAATGTGAAGAGAATCTCTCCCTCAGTACCAACGCACTCTTCAGATGCACCAGTATTTCTGAGTTCCTTCTTTCGGGACATTCTTGAGGAAGGGACTTTCAGGGCAACTTATATTGTTAATGCCAGGCATCTTGGCAATCAGGCTTGCTATTTGACCTCTGGGGGCAGGAGACCTGCTGCCTCCAGCTCCAGTTGCCCACTGATACTTGGCTGGCAGAGGTGGGGGGAGGAGAGTAGAGTAGATTGGATTTATATCCCACCCTTCACTCAGAGTCTCAGAGTGGCTCACAAACTCCTTTCCCTTCCCCTCCCCACAACAGACCCCCTGTCAGGTAGGTGGGGCTGAGAGAGCTCTGAGAGAACTGCTTATGTGAAAACAGCTCTGACAGAACTATGGCTTGCCCAAGGTCATCTAGCAGCTGCAAGTGGAGGAGTGGGGAATCAAACCTGGTTCTCCCAAATTAGAGTCCACACACTTAACCACTACACAATACTGGATGGAAAATGACTGGTGAAATATAACATTATGTCACTTCTGGGGAAAACATGGAAATGACACCATGCATCTTTAAGAATTTTTACGAATTCCAAGTTAAAACTATAGAGGAAACAACAATATACAAGTCCTTCAATACCAATTAATATAGCCACCAAATACATGTTGTACACATCATTCCACCAATGGCTAAATGTCAAACTAGGACTTGGGAGACCTGAATTTGAATCCCCATTTTTGATTAAATATACTAGCTGACCTTATACTGATCATTCAGTTTAAGCCTAACCTAACAGAGTTCTTGTGAAGATCAAATGGAGGAGAGGAGAACCATGTAATCTGTTCTGAGCTCCTTGAAGGAAGAATTGGATAAAAATAATCCAGACAAATGAATGAATCAATGTTTTGTTCTAAGGATGATCATGACATTTCTTTAGTCAAAATGCCACTCAGATATCGAGTTTCTGCATTATGTGAATATCTGTGCAGAGAACACTACCTGAGATACCATTTTTTTTTTAAAAAAAAATATCTAGACTTTAAGAACATCAATGACCAGTTCACTCAATTTTTCAGTTCATTTTTTTCACCTTATGACAACCTAGCCCACTTCCCTCCTTCTGTTTTTCTCTCCCTTTCTGACTGAGCAGCCCTTTTTATCTATTTTCTTCTTTTCTGAAGAACTGTGGCTGTTCCACCCTGTCACAGTATATTTTGCTGAGGCCAGAAAGTTGAGGGAAGGGACAAGATCACCCATTTAACTTAAACTTCAGAACTGACACTCAAGAAGCTTTTTTAAAGTTCAAAAATTACAAAATATTTTATTCAACAGAGGGGAAAAGGTCAGGTGAAACTGGGGTAAAATGTCTGCGGTAAATTAATAATGAGCTCTGAGGTAAATCAGAATAGGCACAGACTACAGTTAATATATTTCAAGCAAACTGAGAGTTTTTTGAGTTTTTAACAGTGACTTAGAATCTTTAAAATGAAAGGCTTTTGTTTCAATGTTTCTTTACTTTATATAGCTAATGTGTACACTTAGCCAAAAGGCAATGTTTCTTAAGCACTCCAATATACTTTATGAGCATATCTGACTTGTTTGGTTTCCAGAAGGCAGGGATACACTATCCAGTACCCAAATTCCTTCACTAAACACACCAGTACATTTTCTTGAGTTTTACTGATTCTTTAGGTTTTAAAAAGGCAGTCTCTCTAACTACACCAAACCAGGGATTATTCACTCCTTAGGGCTCTCTCCCTATTTTTAACCAAGTAGGGAATTTCTCTCACTAGAAGATCCATCCCTTTTTCTGGCCCAAATGGGTTTCTTCACCAATCTACCCACTCCTCTTTGACAACTTTCCCAATTCTCCATCCATGTTAAACTGCTCTCAGTCAGGGTTAAACTAAAATCCAGTCAGTACTAAACCCTTCTCAGTCAGGGCTAAAACACAGACTGAATTAGCATTCAGTTCTGAAGTCTTTCTCTGCTTAACTGATGCCAACCAATCAAATTCCATTTAGCAGCCTGTCACTCAAGGCTCTCTGGCTCTGTGAGGAATTAACCCCTCACAGTCCATTACCTGTTTATCAGCACTTCTTCTAAAAGTGTAGTCTGTCATACACCCCTTCTCAGTTAACTGTACACTTGAGCATATTTTCAGCTCAGTGGGGGCTGAGTTTGCTACCCATCCCTTGGAGAATTACAGTCACCAGACATGGGAATGAGGACCAGTAATAGCCAGTGGAAAAAACACTATTTAAATCTGTCCTAGCTTACCCAGCATGATTTTGCTGCAGAGTTTGAACATGGGCAGCAACATTCTTCTGTCCGTTCAGCTAAGTCTATCCACTGCATGAGCAAATGGTCTTGCATAAGCTCCTGTGAAAGGTTTAGCGAATGATATTGTGTTTTCACTATTACTGCGGAAGTCATAGGGAGCAGAATCCTGCTGATTGACAATGTACAGATGTCACAAAAGCACTTTCGGCATGAACCTGGAAGTGACATCACCACATTGGGGTGACGCTCTTGGATTCACCCAAAATCCATAGTTCATAATATAGACTTTCTGCTGAATCCTATAGCATCACTCACAAGCAGTGACATCATTTCCATGTTTACTCAGTAAGTGATGTCACAGTGTTGGCACAACTCCAGTTTCACCCCTAGTGCTGCTCCTGATGCTCCACCAAGCAGCAGCAGCAGAAGCAACGGTGTCCAAGGCAGGAAGTCTCCCCTACAGTGGGAGATGCAACCACCCTACTGTGAGGGTGGAATATATAAATGACCTAGTCCCACATTATTATCTCCATTGCATCAGACATTTTAAGAAAAGTTCCAATGGGGTAAGTGGTTGTCCATTTTTAACTCAGTTTCCTGTAGCAAGCAATGTAGTGATACTTATCCATACTAGAATGTAGGCAGGCTAACAGCAGTAATTTTCTGTTCAGTACCTGGAAGTGGGTCAAAATATTGATGGGAATCATGCAGTATCCTTGATTCAGAAGTCCTTATATCTGATCTCAAAGGGATAGGCACAGTGCAGCCAAAGCAAAAGTCTCATGTCCCCTTCAATACGCAATCATTTATCTGGTTGGAGCCAATCAGCTTTGTTGCTGGTGAAAAGGGAAGACAAGGTCCCCTTTGACCAATAAAAAGAGTTATGCTGGAGATCATGGGATCTATTCATACAAAAGCCATGTGAAAAGAAGTTGGTAGTAACTGTGACACTATTCGTCCCCCTGGGATTTTTTATTACTTAAGAGCTATATAGATTTTTAATGTGTTGTGCTTTCCCCCCTTCATTTACCTGATATGTGATGGGAAACTATAGCTCTGAATCACCAGCACAACCAATGCATTTCTCCTTGGTCAACCTATATTTTTAAAAAACTTCTGCTCTATTTCAACCACAGTTCCATAATCCCTAGGGAAACCTTTAATGCAGCAAAATGCTGTAGGTGGAAGGGTGCAGCTGAATGTAGCAGCTGGCCTCCCGCTCCTGATCAGCTGCCCAGATTTCCTACGAGCTGATGGTTTCTTTTACCTCATTTGAAATTAATGGGGCTGAGGCAAATTAATGCACAGCGTAATCTGCTGCAATTGTCTCATGTTAGAGTCTCCTGAGAAATGGGTATGCCAGAATGACTGACATAATTAATATTTGAAGAGGTGGAGCAGGAAAATTCTCCTTACACCTACTGACACCAGACAGTTGGCTCATCAGTCCTCTTTCCTTGGCCTATCCTAGTTTTGGCACCTGCCCTCATCTCTAAAATGGAACTTACTTCGATGAACAAGCATGGAACATCCCTAGAGGGACTGTATCATCAAGACTTCCCGGGTGGCTGTAGTCAATTTTGTAGTCAAGAGACTTTTTCAATTTCTCCCTCTGGGACATGTGGAACTATGGAAAACAAATAACTGAAATGCAAACAAAAAAAGATGAGGCAATCTCATACATGCAGTCCAACCCCATCTACTTACAGCCAAGTCCAGTCATTCTAAAAAGAAGACGCAAACCGGTCATTAATCTTATTAGGTTGTTCTGTGAAAGGTATCTGGGCAGAGAAGATGTTTCCTTTCTGGCTAGCACATCAGAACCTCAGTTCTGCATCAAAGATCAATTCAGAAATGAATAGTATCTCCAAAGTAACAGAATTCTATCAGGAGATAATGGAAGGTGTTGATGGAGATGCATGGTGCAGGTAAAACAAAAATCTGAAGAACTTTTAAAGGTATGTTCTGTGTCTTGGGAGGACAATTCACTTTTCACATTCACAAAGCATTTTTCTGCCTTGGAGCCTGGCTGGAGTATAAGATGGGGGAAAGTGACTGGAGACCATGTTGTGGAGTGGAAGCTATAGATGGCAAAGGATTACATATCCAGTTTTTCATCTGTCTCCTAATATCCCCCTCCCACATTCACTTTCAAGCACCAAATACTGAGCTGGGAAAACCTTGTTTGCTGTTCAAGCAGGCCCATAGCTAAAGTGGGGCATCTCGGGGCTATGCCCCCTGACTTGCTGGCAAAGCCCCCTGACTTCCCATCCAGCCCAGGGTCTCACGGCCATCTCCCTCAGATTAAATTGATTAGCCGGTGCCCCCTAAGAAATTTAAATGCCCCCCTGATTTAAAAAATCCTGGCTATGGGTCTGTGTTCAAGGCTAGTTCTAGTGTTTTTGACACCTTGGAAAAGACTTACAGATGGTATATTTTTAATTGATTTTAAGAAAAAAAAAAACCACCCATGATGATGTCTGTAGAGTTTCAATCTACTGCTTGATCTTCTTGAGGAAAGGCTGAAAGAGTTGGGTATGTTTAGCCTGGGAAAGAGAAGGCTTAGAGAGGACATGATTGCAGTCTTCAAGTATTTTAAGGGCTGTCATGTAGAAGATGGAGTGGATCTATTCTCTTTTGCTCCAGATTGCAAGACTAGATCTAATGGGTGGAAATTACAAGGGAGTCGTTACCGGCTAAATATCAGGAGAAACTTCCTAATGTAAGAGTGGTTGAGCAGTGGAACAGTCTGCCTCGGGAGGTGGTGGATGCTCCTTCGCTGGACGTTTTCAAGCGGAGGCTGGACGACCATCTTTTGCATATGTTGTAGGGCTATCTTTTTACTATGCTCCTGCAGAGTTCAGGGAGTTGGACTAGATGACCTGCAAGGTCCCTTTCAACTCTAACATTCTATGATTCTGCTTTTCAAGCATAGGGGAGAACTTCTTCTTAGAATATACTGAGGACACTGGGACACTCAAAAGCTGCACATTTGCAACTAAACATTCTATTTCTCACTTTGTGTCTACATTTGACAACACATGGCTTTTTAGTTGCCTTCTTAAGTGGACTTAAGGCTACTCATGATAAATGCATCATGGAAACAAACAAAAGTACACATATTTGTACATCTCATTTATTCCTTTCTCTCTGCAGAACTTTCCACAAGCAAACACATGGTAAACCGAACAGCTGTGACTGAATTCATCCTTCAAGGATTCTCTGATATGCGAGATCTACAGATTTTACATTTTCTGGTGTTCCTCACTCTCTACCTAGCAACCTTGATGGGAAATTTCCTCATCATCATAACTGTGGCCTTGGTTCATCATCTTCACACCCCTATGTATTTTTTCCTGGCTATCTTGTCATCAGTAGATGCCTGTTTCATCTCCTCCACTGTTCCCAAATCCATGGCCAATTCCTTTATGAATGACAACCAGATTTCTTTCTCAGGATGTGTCAGCCAGCTCTTCTTTGTTGTTGCATGCACTACTGCAGAAGTTTCCCTGCTCACTGTCATGGCTTATGACCGCTATGTTGCAATCTGCCATCCTCTACAATATATGTTGATCATGAACTGGAATGCCTGCTTCCAAATGGCAGCTATGGCTTTGGTCTTGAGTGTAATCAATGGAATGATACAAACAGCAAACACGTTTAGGCTACACTTCTGCTGGTCCAATGTAGTTGAACAATATTTCTGTGATATTCCCCAGTTGTTAAGGATATCTTGCACAGATACCAGATTCAATGAGATCTTCACGTTTGCCTGTGTTCTTACGGTGGGTTTTTTCTGCTCTGTGTTCATTTTGGTTTCTTATAGTTACATCTTCTCTGCTGTGTTCAAAATCCAGTCAGGCCAGGGGAAGTATAAAGCTTTTTCTACCTGCATCCCACACTTGGCTATGTTTTCTCTTTTTGTCTTTACTGTCATGTTTACTTATATGAGGCCACAGGAGATGCTTTCTCCATCTATAGACCTGTTAGCTGCTGTTTTGTATGCTATTTTGCCACCACTCATGAATCCCATTATTTATACCTTGAGAAACAAAGACATCCAAATGGCTCTGAGAAAGAGGAGAGGTTTGAAGGTGATGTGATGGCCTCAAAGAGCTTTAAGATGATATTTTGCCACCTAACACTGGGACTTGGCTTATGGAGCTGCTACCCCATTTAGATATTATTCACTGATGTAGCAACCATGGAATGTACCCAATTTGAATACTATTGACTCCTTAGTAACTGTGGGAATCTATCTATCTATCTATCTATCTATCTATCTATCTATCTATCTATCTATCTATCATCTATCCATCATCATCATCATCAAAAATATATGTGCTGCTATTCCAGGAAACTGCTTGAGTCAGCTAACAAAATGAAAATAATAATAAAAATAAACAAAAGATTAAAATATATTAACATCCAGCATCATAAAACCAACTCAGCCTATAAACTTAAAATAACAGTTTCCAAACTAAAATAGTGTTGAAAGATCAATCTCTTAATCAAAAGCCTTGGTGAAGAGAAGCATTTTGGCCTTGCACCTAAAAGAAAGCAATGTAGGTGCCAGGTGAACCATAAGGGGAATGGCACTGAACAAGTGAGGTGCCGCTGCTGAAAAACCCTGTCTCTGATTGTCACATGCCTCATCTCTGAAGGCAGAGCACAGACGGCTTTTGAGGCAGATCTTAACTGGTGCTGGACAATATGGGTGGTGGTGGTCCTTTAAGTACCCTAGCCCCAAGCCATTTAGGGTGTGAAAGGTAAGAGCTATCCCCATGAATTGTGCCCAGAAGACTGGTGCTTGCCCCTACACAAGCACAAGCTTTTGCCCACCCCCCACATCCTCAAAGGAATCATGTGGAAGGGTGAGCCTATCAGGAGGCAGCGCGGGAGCACTGACCTATCAGGGAAGGCTGGCCAGCCAGATCTAGCGGTGGCAGCCATTTCCCCGGCCATTCCAGCCAAAGACCAGCTCCCCACCCACCCGTCCTCAGCTGGCAACCATGTAGGAGTAACCAGTCACTGGTTCTGGGGCTGAGCAAGAATGTTTTGGGTCTCTCTCAAATTGGCTTCTAGGGGGGCTTTTTTTTTGCCTGCTTCACATGGTCCTTGAGGGTTGTGGCATAAATAGGCCTGTTAATCTGGTTAGGCCCCTCTGGGATGGGAAAGCACGGGATGAGGGGGTAGATTGGAGATTGCACGCACCCTGAGATATCAGCGATGGGGGGGGGTCCTCAAACTTGGTATCTAGTGGCTTTGCAGTCCAGGAGCCTCAGATGGGGGCCCCTCCGGCGGTAGGGAAGCACACGGTGAGTTTTAAGGCTTAGTAGCCATGGCAAGAATGTGCTCCTCTGTCCCCGCTACACACTTGGAGTGCAGGCCATGATGGGTATGGTCCAAAAGGATTCCAGACCTGGCTCTGAGCTGGGATGGGTTTGCCCTGTTAAGAAGCTCGCTTCGCAAGCACAGTCCAACCCATGCTTAAATGGTATAAGGGATACAGAGCAGCTTGTATGTAAATAAAGTCCCAGTTTAACCCATAAATTGTGTTGTGTTTCATTCAAGGGGTGCATGGCCAAACAAATGGACAGTGTGTGCAGATGCTTCAACTCTGGGATGATATAGACCTGCCCCGGACAATACCTTGGCTGCTGCATTTTCCAGACCATTCTCAAAGGTAGTTCCATGTAAAGAGCATTATAGTAATCTAACTGAGATATAGCAAAGCATAGATCACCATGCCCCAATCATGCTTTTCAAGGAGCATCTGTAGAAGATGAAGAAGAGAAGAGATTGGATTTATACCCCACCCTTCACTCAGAGTCTCCGAGAGACTTACAACCCCCTTCCTTTCCTCTTCTCACAACAGATACCCTGTGAGGTAGGTGGGGCTGAGAGAGCTCTGAGAGAACTGCTATTGAGAAAACAACTCTGAGAGAACTGTGACAGACCTAAGGTCACCCAGCAGCTGCATGTGGAGGAGTGGGGAATCAAAACCAGTTCTCCCAGATTAGAATCCGCTGCTCTTAACCACCATATCAGCCAAAACTGATAAAAGGTGCTGTGTGACACCAGATCTGAGCCTCCAACAAGCTTGTTCCTTTTGTGAGGAGGGGACAGGCTGAGATTTCAATCTTTGTGCAGCTTTTGCTAGTATAAGGATGACCACACTTCATTTATTCATTTATTTAAATGGTTGAATACTGCATTTTCCATGTCGTTGGCCAAAGGTAGGTTTTCTTCCACTCTCTTCCTGTCCAGACACGCCTGTGTTTTGATTTGTTCCAGAGACAGACCCAAATTACTGTTATCTTTTATGTGTTCAAAGGGAAGATAGTTCTCCTTGTTAAGCCTTGGTGCAATCAGGGCTGTCAAGACCCCAGTTCCAGAGGCAGAACCAAATCACTGTGATATAGATGAGAAAACCAACCCTGCTGTGTATGGCCACCATTCTTAAGCTAAGAGCCATTTCCTTGTTATTTCTGAGCCATTCTCTAGGCTTAAGCCGGCCCTCTGTATTGTGTGAAGCACAGCCATGTTGAGAAACATGCAAGCATTTCTGGGTGTCCTAAAGGACCAAGTCAGCACAAATTCAGTTACAGGGTCATCCTGACCCTCCAGAAAGAAGAGTGTCTTATTGTATTGTATCCTTTAGGCTGAACAAGAAATAGTTAGGAGGTGTATTGAGTTCGAAGGTCATTCGTTTGTTACAGTGGATCCACTGGCAAGCCACCCCAGAGACCAAGTGGTGACAGAAGTCGAGATAAGACCCCCGTAAGTGTCTGCTCTGTTCTTCACATCCTCCCCAAACACCTCTAAAACTGTCACGACTCAGGTGGGGTGTCACCTGACGCTGCCACCACTCTGGATTTAAGTTCCCTTGAGAAGGCCCAGAGCACCCTCCCAAGACCTTCAGACCTCCCTTTAGGCCGAATAACAGGCGTGAGGACCAGGCAGAGTAAAACAAGAAAAAGGTTTATTTTATAGGAGGTCAAACAACAAGGTGCAGAATAATAACAGTAAGTGGGTGAAAAGAAAAGAAATCAAATGCCCTAACTCATCTAAATATACTTTCCCTAGCTCACTATCTCAAGTGGCCTTACACTACTCACCCCTCCCTCAGGATGAGGGTTTTTCCCCTGCAGCAGCCTTTCTTCTGGCTCTGCCCTCTGGAAGAAAGAACAGCTCTTCCTGCTGCTCCAGAACGTTTATTCCAAGCCCTCCTCTTTTCCTATTGGTCCATTTTGGCTCCAAAACCTCACCTACTGCTAGCCAGGCTCCTTGGGGCTAGTAGGCCTCTGGTAGCACAGCCCAGATCTGCATGCAACACAGCAAACATGCAGGGAGCATGCAGATATGCATGTGCTCAGCATGCCCAGAGTGATGTCATGTGGGCATGGGGAGGTTGGTTTGGACACCCCATTGAAGGCAGAATCTTAGAGTAGCACAGGGTCCTCATCATCATCTCATCGAAACTCTATGGCCCCGCCCCCAGCGTGCCCGGCGTGGCTGCGTCACTTACAGGTGACGTGCCGACGCCCCCGGGGGGGACTTGGCAAGCCTATAAATAGTGCAGTTTTAATCCACTTCGATGACCCTTTGCAAGTAGGTTTTACCATTTCACACAGTAAAATCCAGTTGTAAAGTGCATTATTTAGTGTGTGTGCAAGTGCCCAAAGAGGGACATCTCAGTCAAGGAGATAACACCTATATTCCCTTGGGCCCATTCTCCATCTCATGTCCGCTCCGTTGTTTTACCAAACACACACTGGAACAGAAAAAGGTGCAGCTCAAAACCACATTCAAATACCCCGGGCCAATGATGTACTGACTGCAGAGTCATGCCTGAATGGCCATAAAATGGCCATAAATCTATGCAGACAGTACCATAAAACTGAGAGACTGAAGGATGTGAAACTGGCATGCAGTGTGGAGGCTACCATAAAATGTGACGATCAAAGAAAGTGAAAGTGGCATGCAATGTGCAGGGGAATTTCTGTTCCAGCGTGGGTTTGGTAAAACAGCAGAGTGAACGCTAGATGCAGAATGGGCCTTAAAGTGATATACCACCCCCACCCCCATGTCCAGGCATGCTGAGTCACTCACTCCAATAGACCCACCAGGAAAGGTGGGATATAAATATTTCAATTAATAAATAGGTGGGATAAGAGTGGGATTTAGTCATCTCAATCTATCGTGTTTTCTGTTGCCCCTTTCTTCAGATTACTGGGGTCAACGTATGTATGTATGTATTTATTTATTTATTAATCAAACTTATACCCCGCCCTCCCCCGTAGGGCTCAGGGCGGCTAACAGGCAAAAATTGCAACAATAAAATATAGTTCTCAAAGTTAAAAACAGTAAACATTTAAAACTAATCTTAATACAAGTTAATTTAAATTCAAATCCAAATTTAAACTTAATTTAAAGTGCTCGTTGCTCTTCACATCCAAAAAAAACTCCACAAGGTGACGGTCCAGTCCAGAGGTTCCCCCAAAGTCATTCGATGGTTCCGACATTCAATCAAATAAGATGTTTAAAATGTTCAAAAAAAGTTCCAGTGTTTCCGATGTTTCCTTCCTTCCCAGGGCCTCTTCCACCCCCCATGATGGTCATATAACGAGGGGGGGCGGGAGGCGGTGGCCCCTACTTGAAGGCCTGGTGGAAGAGCTCCATCTTACAGGCCCTGCGGAACTGCATCAGGTCCCGCAGGGCCTGGATCTCCTCCGGGAGCTCATTCCACCAGGTAGGGGCCGCCACCGAGAAGGCCCTGGTCCTGGTAGCGACCAACTTTGCATCTCTGGGGACCGGTGCAGTTAATACGTTTTGGGCCCCAGACCGTAGTGCTCTTGGGGGAACATACGGGGTAAGGCGGTCCCTCAGGTAGGCTGGACCCAGACCATGTAGTTCTCCATTTTATCCTCCCAACAGCCCTGCCAGGTTGAGAATGAATAACAGGTCCCTAAGATATCTTTGATCTTTCTGGCTTAGCATGGATTTGAACCTTGGTCTCTTCAGCTGCAGTCTAGCTCTCTAATCACCCCACTGACTTTTAGATCCTGCAGCTGTAAAGCAATGATTGGCACCGGTCACATGGGAGGTTTTGCCCCGCAAGAGGGAAAGATCGGGGGCGCATCAAACGGGCGCGATCACACCACAATATCTGGGAAGTGGAGCGCACCCGTCCCTGATCCGTCCTTTCCGGGTGAGACCGCGCATCAAAAAAAACCCCTAGAAAAGAGTACTACGTACCTGAAGCTCCGCAGAAAGGGCGGCTGTGGGATTGCCGGCGCGCCCGTCTTCCGTAGCATTCGAGGCTCCCGGCCAAACTATGCATGCACGCACATGCACAGCCAGCTGCCTCGCTCTCTGTCCCGTGGCTCCCCACCCCCCCGGCATCTGATCGTGCCGGGAAGCAACTCCATGGCGGCTCGGGGGATCTGTCTGATCCTGCCGCCGCGTGTCTATTTTGCTGCGGCTCAGAAAAGCCGCACTTTGGCCGTGCTTTGTTCCCCCGTGTGACCGAGGCCATTCTCAAGCTTTCTGGGAACACATTGTAGGTTTGGCTTGCCTGAAACAAAATTCTGTCCATTGCAGAGGGTTCTGGGTAGGGTAAGAGTTAGAGGTTGGACCTCACCGTTGCTCCCTGTGAACAGAATCCACTCAAGAGGTGTCCAATGCTTCTCTGCAGATTGGAAGTGGCAGATTTCCTATCTCTGGGGGTAGCTGATCTGCCCTTACTGAAATTCTAATTGAGGAAGTCCTGATAAGCTCTTGAAGAATCTACATGATCCCTGGAACACAGTTCAGAAACAATGTTTGTAATGTATCTACATTGACTCAATCCTTCCTAATCATGGTAACACAAGTAGATCAGGCAGTTAAATTTTCTCTAAATACTTAAACTGATAACTTCCATTGGACTCTTGAGATGAAATCTCTAGGAACACAAGAACTGTATTAATTAACGTTTCTCCCTTGGCAACAACTTCTTACTACCAGTATATTTTTTACAGTGTCATAATATGACTGGGGGAGGGGGTAAACAACTTATTTCATAGGTTGCTGCTTGATATTTGATGCTCAAAAATGGTAGAGACAGAAAAGAGACTATATCAGGACCAGGAAGGGAATCCATGAACACAAAAAGTAAGTGTGTGAATATAGCTTTCCTCATAAACAGAGGTTTTTTTCTGGGCCTCCTGATATACTGTGTGAGTGGGATAGTGAATCTAAAGACAAAAACCTACTTGTAATCAGGGCATCCGGCATTTGCCATAATGTGCATAAGCTGATGATGACAAGTAGCATTCTTATAATCTAGAAAGGCCTCCTCACTGTTTTTAGTGTGAAGATCCTCTAAAAGTGAACAATGAGGCACATGGTGAGCAGCTAACAATCTGTGTTTGGAAATCTTCCATGCAGAATTATAATTTGATGGGGGAAACAACACATCATTGTTATAATGATTGAAATATTGGGCATGCAAAAAGTGTTTTACCAGTCCAAGTGCCTGTATAGCCCATCATGACATTTAGAAGGCTGTGGGGGTGCAATTTTTATTCTTCATATGTATGTTATGTACATTAAACCCTGATAGAAGAAAACCAGCATTTCGTGGGGAAAGAGAGCTAGCTAAAACCTATCAACTTTTCTAGTTTGCTATTTATGTTATTTTTTAAAAATAGTGGCAACAAAAAATAAAACCCACCTGTTAGAATGATACAGTCCCTTCTCTCTATGTCCTCATTTGGTTGTGTGTGCAGATCCAGAGTTTAGGTGTTCTGGATCACTGGTGTTGTAACTTGCTCAGGGCACTTCTTTAAATAATGTGGAATTCCTTTCTTTTCTAAATTCACTAAATAGTATAGGGGAGGGTCTGTTAGGAGAAGGACTGTGGCTCAGCAGAAGAGCCCCTCCTCTGCATGCAGAAGGTCCCTGGTTCAATCCCTGGCATCTCCAGTTAAAAGGAGCAGGCAGTAGGTGATGTGAAAGACCTCTTCTTGAGACCCTGGAGAGCTGCTGCCAGTCTGAGTAGACAATACTGACCTTGATGGACTGATGATCTGACTCAGTACAATTGTTATGGCAATAAAGGTCGATTGATATTGACTCAGTACAAGGCAGCTTCATGTTTCTCTCTGTGTGTGTGGTTTTAGAAAGCTGTGGAACTGGAGCAACAGATTTCAGGATCTGGAAAGATTTCAAGTACAGTATTACTGTTTTCAGCTTTTGAGTAATTATGTTGTCATGTATGTCTGCACTCTTTCCATTTTCTGCAAGAGAGTGTAATACAGTTCCTGTGACAGGGAACACTTTTAGGACCTCCAGATATTGATTCTTGTTTACATTCTAATTGTCATTCTAACCATTCCATAAGAAGCAACACAATACTTCCTTTCTCAATATGCCCAGTTATAGACAAGAGGGTTTTTTTTGTAATTATCAACACACATGCATTCCGAAGCAAACACAGATATTTTATGTCACTGGGCTTCATCTCAACACAAGAATTTGTATTAATTTATTTACATATGCATAATAGTATAATGTCCCTCTGTAGAAAGAGGATGTTGGGATAGGATGCCACAGCTCCCATTCTCGAAGCAACCCTTTGCTCGGTACTTTCTGTCCAGTTATCATTTTGTAGAACAGGGCATGTGATCATACATGCTCATAATATGAAGCTCATTTACTAAACTGTACAGATTCATGCAGTTTGCCTGTGTTGATATTTTTAGTAACTAGTTACAGCTATGAGAAAGACCCTCTCTTGTGCACATAATAAGTAGCTCTTGGAGCTCCCTATTCTAGTGACATCATCAATAATGACACGGGGTTCTGAATGTCACCATCTCTACCTTCATGCTGTAGAGGAGCAGCAGCAGTTTTCTGAATGTCACCATCTCTACCTTCATGCTGTAGAGGAGCAGCAGCAGTGCTGGTCAGTGAACCAACTGACTGACTATCCAGGAGATCATCCCACTCGCCTTCCATTCTACTCCCCCCTTCGAGTGTTCACCAACAGCCAAGAATTACACATTTTGTTTTTAGTTTGAAGGATCCAAATGTTGAAGCAGAAATACACTCTGCTTCTTCTGTCATCTAATCACAATAAACATCAGGGTCATCATGAACAGATGCTGAAGATTTCATCCGATCAAACTACAAGTGTCTAATCTTTTCCATATATTCTCTTCTACAGGGTGCATTCAAGAGATTACTGAGTGCAAAATGTACAACCAAACCTTTGTGTCAGAGTTTCTGCTCCTCGAATTCTCAGACGTTCGAGATCTGCAAATTCTGTACTTTGTTGTGTTCCTGGTCTTGTACTTTGCAATTGCTTCCGGGAATCTGCTCGTCATCTCTGCAGTAGCCTACGATCAGCATCTGCATGTGCCCATGTACTTCTTTCTGATGAATTTGGCCTTGCAGGACTTTGGTCAAGTCTCAGTCATTATTCCTAAATCCATGATCAATTATTTCATGAATACCAGGCACATTTCTTATTCAGGATGTGTTGCTCAGGTCTTCTTCTTTCTCTTTTTTGTAGCATCAAATTTCTTCCTCCTCGTATTCATGGCCTATGATCGGTATGTTGCCATTTGCAATCCATTACACTACAAGATGGTGATGAATACACAAACCTGCATTCAAATGATTGCTAGTTCATGGGCTATTGGCATTGTTTATGCAGTGTTACACACCAGAGGTACATTTACAGTTACTTTCTGTTCTAATATTGTCAATCAGTTTTTTTGTGAAATCCCACGGTTACTTAAACTGTCCTGCTCTGATCTATATCTAATAGAAATCAGAGCAATTCTGTTGACTATTGTCATCATTGGTTTTGCCTGTTTTGTCTTCATCATTGTAACCTATGTGTACATCTTCACTGCAGTGCTGAGAATTCCCTCTGTGCAGGGAAGGCAAAAGGCCTTCTCCACTTGCCTTCCCCATCTCATTGTCTTTTCTACATTTCTGTTTACTGGAACTTTTGCCTATCTGAGGCCCACTTCTGACACCCCGTCATATCTGGATTTAGCATTAACTATTTTATATTCCATGCTTCCCCCGGTGCTGAATCCAGTAATCTATAGCATGAGAAATAGGGAAATTAAAAATGCTATGTTTAAATTACTGGGATTGAGGCACCCTTCAATGAATATTTTTTCCAATTTTCTTCTGTAAATGTGACTTCTATGTGCAGTCAACTGTATTAAAAACTTACTTTATTTACCAGTTGTACATATTTCTATCCTGTCTTTCAACCAATATATTGCATGGTTGTTTGCAATAACCAATAAACCGTACACCACAATTCAACAACAATTTTTTAAAAAAGGATAAAACAACAGCATCATCTCCCCATACACAACGGCATTAAAATAACAGTGTAAAAACAGCTGTCTGAATAGGAATCACCAGTACATTAAAAGCTTGGGTAAATAACACCATTTGGATTATGTACCTAATGCTTGACAAATAAGTAGAAGAACCCCTCTGAGAGGGGCATTCTGCAACCACAGACAAGGCCCTTACTGCAGAAGTCTACCACCTAATTGCTGAAGGAGACTGAACCCAGAGAAGTTCCTATGAAGATGATTTCTGGAAGGATCAGCTTCCTAATGGTTTATGCAACTTTTTAGGTATCTTGGTCCCAGATCTTAATGAGGTTTATGAATCAAAAGCAGGAATTGGAATTGTAGAAAAAATGGAAGATGATATAGGGATATAAACACTGAGGAGATATTAAAAAATGGCCAGTTTCCATTTGTAGTCTATCTCCTGGCTACTACATAATAACCAAGTTGCTTTTGTGGATTGCTCCTTCCCATATAAACGTTTGCTTTAAATGGCTTTTGCAAACCCAAGATGCACACAAGGAACTGGGAAGTGGTGTGATTTCACCTGGAAAGTGGGTGAACTCATGCCACCAGCTGAGCCTGAATAAAAGCCAAATAATATCAGCTTTTATTTGGGTTCAGCTACATCAGTATGCTAAGGCATTTTTCAGGTATTTATTTGGCTTGGTATATACTGAGCACACACCCCTAGTGGGTACATGAGAGAGTGCCTTTTCCATAGCAGCTCCATGATTATGGAACAACCTCTTCAGGGAGGTGCACTTGGCCCCCTCACTTTTGATCTTTAGGAAGCAGTTGAAGACAGTTTTATTTAGGATTACATTTGGTCACGTTTAGTAGCAGTCCTGAGTAGTGATTTTAAATGTTAGTTTAATGTTTTTAAATGCATTTTATCCTATGACTTTTTTATCTGTGTTTGTAAGCTGTCTTGAGCTCCATAAGGAATGAAGGTGACTAATCAGTGTTTCACATAAATAACAATAAATAAATACAATTAATGATGTTGGAAGCAGGAATTGTGGCTGTGCTGTTTCCATTGAGGACATTTGTGGCCAAGACTGCCTATGTACTCCCTCCCAGTGAGACAACCTTATGTTATTCATGCACAGCACTGGTGAGTTATACCAACACACTCAACAAAAATCTAAATAAAATATTTACATAAAATCATCATGATATACAAACTGGTTTTCATCTTAAATGTTCAGGTACTGAATAATATGATACAGAGCTACTCATAAGACTCACAGCTTATGTAAATTATTTTCCAGTAGCAGTGCATACATGGTCTATAGTAGTTGAATCAGTGGATCAGAAGTGTTTTGTGCACACAGCTGATGAAAAAGAGGCAGCTGCTTTTAGAAGAGTGGACCAGTGCCCAATCAAATCACAAATTGAACTGAATTAGTATTTGGTTGTAGGAATCCTAAATTGCATTTGATTAGCTGGAATAATAAATATTTATCAGTCTTCTTTTCTCATTGACAAACTTTTCTGGAGAGGCTTTTGGCAGAACACCCATAATCAAAAAGCTTCAGCAATGCTTTTCTGATCCCGTTTTCTCATGAGGGGATTATGGTTGAAATGATACCAAAAACTATCTAGACAAGATGTTGTGATAGAAAGGGACTTTACATAGCCAAAGAGCACAGTGAATGCAAGCAGAGACACCACAGTGAGGTAAGGCATTCTCAATACTGTAGCAAATATCTGTAGGTAGGTTACTATGATGAAGTCACAATATCCTGTTGCAATGCTAATGCCAAACAGCTAGGTACAGTCAGAGCTGGACAGCTATAGTAACTGTGGGATTTCATAAAAGAACTGATTGACAATTCTGGAGCAGACATCAATTGCAAATGTTCCCCCAGTATGCAATGCAACACAGAGCACACTGCTAATTCATACACTGGCTGCCAATTAAATGCAGGCTTCTTTCAACATAATTACCTTATAAGGTGTAGAGGATTGAAGATCGCAACCTCACAGTCATATGCCATTATTATTTGGAGGGCAAGGTGTGATGTTCCAAAGACAAAGAAAACTTGAGCTTCACATCCAGAATAAGAAATGGTTCCACTACTCCTGGGGAAATTGGGGTACCATAACAGAAATGGAGCCAAGGTCCAATATGATCAAATTAATTAGGAAGAAGGTGGTGGAGGTGGTGATCAAAGGTTATTGATTGACGTCGCTTCTTTTTGCAACGGCTAAACTACCAATTGCCTCTGTATGGAAATCCCCTAATCCCCCCACATTGTCTCTCTGGCACGATAAGCTATGGGAACAGTTCATCATGGCTAAAATTAATGGTCTAAGTCGAGAGACCCAGACACCTTGCACCACATTACATATGAAATTTAGAAAGCTCTGGGCACCGGTGGTGACATATATGTCAAAATACGAAATTCTCCCCACAAACATGAATTATCACAGGTGGTTGTTCTTATAACGTAACACTCACTTTATTAATCTGGACAGTTGAATAAGTCTACATCTATTGAATGGTCAATAACATTATTCAATGGTGCAAACGTTCAGAGGAGACAATAGATAAAATGTCGAGTAAAGTATAGTCAAAAAGATCATCTAGATTTTAACCAGGGTTCCTTAAAGTTCATAGTTTAACCAATATACATTCATTTACTGTATACCCCTTGGCTGCTTTTGAGGTGTTGTTGTTTCTTTCTCTGCATTTGAATGTACTTTAAAGTAAAAGAATAAAAATATAATTTTTTTAAAAAAGGTTATTGATTGGGTGTGGGGGGGAGAACAACAAGAAAGTGGATTGAAAATGCTGTGTTATCTTTATTATTTTATAAGTCCTTACAGACCTAAGTACAAAGAATTTAATGAAACAGCATTGACATGAACACACGGTGCTGCCTTCTACTGACTCAGATCACTGATCTATCAAAGTTGGTCTCTCTAAGGTCTCAGGCAAAGGACTTTCAACATTACCTACTATCTGATTGTTTTAACTGAAGATCTTTGGACCTACTGCATGCAAAGTAGATACTCTACCACTGATCCATGTCCCCTTCCCACCTATTACTCTATTAGATTGCTTTGCAAATGTTGGGCAACCATTGTTCCAGATCTAAGGCAGCCTGGAAAGAATGCTACAGTACTCACAACCTGATTGAATAAAAAAAATGATATTAGGGAGCATTGGCAAGGAAAGAATCAGTGACTTCATGACCTCACTATTAGCATTTGAAAGTACAGATTTCTATGTCTATATTTGGTGGCTTTTACTGACTTCTGCTTCCGTGATATCTTTGGCTAGGACTCATGAGCATCTTCCATGAATTATCCAGAAAATCCCTGATCAGAAGTTGGAAATGGAAGGTCTGGTTTTGGTCTCAAATATATTTTATTGACCACCCAATGTAAAGTAATATTTATAAAAGAAGAGCTCAAATATGTGTCTCAAGACACTTGTGGAAAGGGAAAGGCATGACATGCATTGGACTTTGAGTTGAGACAAACAAAGAGAAAACTTGCCAGGTAGCTAAAACCACCTCTGAGATTACAACTTTGCCATGGCCTAGAATTCCTCCAAATTATCATTTTCCTTCCCTGAATGCTCCCTCCCCCAATTCAGCCTTGCTGGGAAAGAAATGCCTAGAGCAACTATCCAGGGAAATAGGAATAAGGAGGAGGAGGGGAGGATAGCTCAGCTCCCATCAACTATGTGTCCTCAGTATGCTACCATACAAATTTATTTATTTATTTAATGACCCTATATGTTAATAGGATAGATGTGAAGTACTGCCATGATGACCAGTTTAGCCCCAATTTAGGGAACTGAATCCTACCAGATTTCCATGCAATCTTTTCTGATTCCTCTCCTCTCTGTACCACTACTTCCTGTGACACTTGTTCACATAGTTCCTTGAATCTCTGCTGTAGCCATTTTACTGATCAAAGGAGGCACTGAGATTTACCAATAGAATAGCAGGCTGGATACCACCCACTGGCTTGCATTGTGGAACTGAAGGGGGGGAGATAATAACCTTTTAGTGACCCTCCCCTCATAACCAAGAAATAATCCGCTGGCTTTTCTTCATTCTTCTTCCTGGCCACAAACCCTTTCAGAGGTACTTTGTCCAATGTGAAACATCTTCACAGAACAATTCTGGAAATACTATCTGAAGTGTGCCTGATAGCCAGCAGTTTCCATAGGGCAACCTTGATGTTCTTGTTTCTCATGCTGTAGACCACTGGATTCATTAAGGGTGGAACCATGGAATATATAATAGCAATGACTAGGTCTTGGCCAGATGAAGAATTAGTTGGAGACCTTGTATAAGCTAAGACTGCAGTGGACTCAAACAGACAGACGACAGTGAGGTGGGGAATGCAAGTAGAAAGGGCCTTTCTCTGGCCATGCACTGAAGGGATTTTAAGCACTGCAGAGAAGATGTGCACATAAGTTACAAAAATGAAAATGAAACAGCCTAATGACAAGCTGCAACCAAATACGAGAAGTCCAACTTCAACTAGGTATAAGTCTGAACAGGAAATATTCAGTAATGATGGGATTTCACAAAAGAATTGATTAACAACCTTAGAGCAGAAACTCATAGAAAACGTGCTACCAGTGTGCATTGCAGCATAGAGAAAACAAGTAATCCATGCACTGCAGGCCATTTGAACACAAGCTCTTTTGTGCATGATCCTCTCATATTGTAATGGGTTACAGATAGCTACATAGCGATCACGTGCCATAACAGTCAGGATGGCGAAATCTGTCGATGCAAATAAGAAATAAAAGAAAACTTGGGCAACACATCCAGAGTAAGAGATTGACCTGCTGCTTGTGATGGAATTGGCCATTGATTTGGGTATGATGACAGAAACTGAACTGATGTCCAGTATGGCCAAGTTCATGAGGAAGAAGTACATGGGGGTGTGCAGGTGGTGGTCAAAGGCTATTGCAAGAATGATGAGAAGATTCCCAGTCATGGTGGCCAAGTACAACACCAGGAATACAAGGAAGTGTAAGATCTGCAGTTCCCGGACCTCTGAAAATTCCAGCAGCAAAAATTCAGACTTGAAGGTGAGATTGGACATTTTATTTCCTAATTCTGCCTTTCATTCTACCTGTAAGAAGCAGAAGCAGGGATATCAGTTCCTCCTGAAATATAGATTATTTGTTTAAACCATCCAATCATGTTTTCTGCTGGTACAAAAGGGAGGAGAGAGGTCACCCCGAAAGACTCCACTAGGGAACATGGGACATGAGCCATGTAGCATGTGGGGCTGTAATAAGGAGGAGAAATGGGCAGTGACAAATCAAACAGCTCACTCTATGCCATGGATAGTTTATAACAAAAGTTTAGTTAACAAATGTAAATAAATTAACAGATTTTTCTCTAAACTTTCCACAAAGCTGAATGAGTTAAAATGTTGTGAGGTACATGCTGACACATAGACAAAGGGGGCATTCTTTTTATTAATGTTCTTGTAATCATAGGCAGCAAACACTAATCACCAATCAAAGAGGAAGGCATGAAACAATAAATTCCAAATAGTCCCTCCTTATATAAAGAGCTGAATGTGGAACATCTTAAAACTCAGGTCCCGTCACACTGGCGATGACTCAAACAATGCAAAGTGGCTTGTACCCTGCAACTCTGCTCTGCAAAGTTTGAAGCCTAAGGAGTCTTTTCTGCAGATGAAAGTGTTGCTTCTTCTGGTAGAGGAGCCACATTGGTCAAAGGAAAGCTCCTTAGGCTGGAGGAATGCTTTAAACTTTGTTCAGGGGAGGATTTTTACTGTATATTTTTGCAATGAATATCAATATAGGAAGTTAATCACAAATGTCTCAATAGGGATCTTAGAAAGATATGTCAAACAGGAAGTTGCTCTTGAACTGTATAATAATAAACTAAGATCTGACCCAGGCTTTCTTTGGGGAATGCAAGAAACTATTCACTTCTGCCTATTCCATAATCTATTTCTGTTCTTCTTTCCCTTCTCTTCTTGTGCCTTGTCACTACTTATAGTGTACAATACTAAACAGAGTTATCTCTTTCTAAGCCCATTGGCATCACTGTTGAATTGTAAGCCTTTGGACACATGCTGTTTAAAATATGGAAAAGAAATACTTAGTTTATATCATCATTGTACATGTTCTCAATAATACAAAATGACAACAGAATAAGTGGAATAGAAGGAGAAGAAATTAATTTGCATCATGCCCATACCTTACCAACAAACAGAGTTATGCTGGTTCCACTTAACTGTTTCCTGCTCCAGCTTCCTGCCAAGGGTGCTGCAATAGTTTGGGTCTTCTATCCAAGGCGCTGGGCCATAGTATCTGACCACTAGTAATTTTAGCAAAAGTGTGCAGGGACCTCTCCCTCTGTTTTTTGATACCAGGTTATTAAAGCAGTTATTCCACTTTGTATTTGGCCTGTTTCCAGGTGGGAATCAAACCTCTCTACCCAAATTGGTGACATTCAAGTCCTTGTTTTATTCCAGAAGAATTCCGTTCTGTGATTGAGACAATGCTGAAAGAATGACAATAAAATGAGATTGCAGTTGATGGAGAGAGTAGAAGAATGATGAATGGAAGGAGGAACATTTGAGAAACTGTTTTCAAAATCTTAGTTTTCCCATAGGTAGCTCTCACAGTTAGATAGCTCTCTTGCCTGTTCAATTACTTTCTTCTTCAAGCTTCCTACTGTAAATGCAGCTGCTTTTTATTTCAATTGCCAGTGGAAGGTTGTTTTTCAGGGAAGGAGGTTTATTAATGTCTGTTCATACTTCTGGGAAATGGTTTCCCAAGAGTCCATTCTAGCTGATCGGGGGGGGGTATCATCAGCTTCTATTTCTTAGCAAATTTGCAGGATGATCCATTGTACTGTTAATAATATTGGTAGTACTGCTGTGCAGTGTCTAAAGAAATGCACACCGGACCTGCAAGGTGGTAGGTTAAAGAGCTACAGACTTAACCACTGGAATTCATATTTTCAGAACCAAGTGCTACATATAATGGCTTGGATCCACTAGCATGCAGTGATAAAGGCACTTGGTGTGACAGGTTCATATCACTTGTTTCCTCTCACATGTCAGCCAATAACAAAGAAGAGGGAAATGCAAAAGCCCATTGTGGTGCCACTGGGATACTGTTCATATAGATTTAATTTATTCAGTGGCTTACTAGGGAGCAGGGGGTGGGAAAGTGGCATGGTGTAGCCCTGTCTCACCAAATATCAGAAGTTAAGCAGGGTCGATACTTGGGTGGGAGATCACCAAGGAAGAATCTGCAGAGGAAGGCGATGGCAAACCAGCTCTGCTTCTCCCATGCCTTGAAAATCTCTTGCTGGGACTGTCATCAGATCTCAGAAGCTGCACAGGGTTGACCATGGTTAATATTTGGATGGGAGACTACCAAGGAATAGGAGGGTCACTATGCACAGGCAGGCAATGACAAACCACCTCTGAACTTCTCTTGTCTAGAAAGCTCTACGAGGATTGCCATACATTGGTTGCAAGTAGACAGCTCTTACATGCGTCTTAGACCCAGAGTACCTGATGGACCACATCTACTCCTGTTAATACCCCACACACACACACGCGCACACACTTTGAAAGCACCTGGTATCCAAAGATGTCAGCAGAAGTTGAATATTTTCATATTTTCTTTAGCTCCCCCCCTCAACTATATTATATATTGTGGATTTCTGTATTCATTTATTACTTCATATTTCCCATATAAGATTGACTATATCCTCTGTATTTAAAGCTTGTGTTCTAGAGGTTCTTCCCTTTTAATCAGTGTCCCAATGACGAAACCACCCTCCCACCCCGTGGTCCCAACAAAGCCGCCACCGACGCCGGGAAGATGGCCCCGGGATCCACCTCTACTCACCTGGGATCCCGGGAGATGCCAGAGGAAGACCACTGATGTGGGCGCGGCCACAGCCATCCCGTCATCAGCCCCGGCTGGCGCCAGCAACAGAGATGTCGGCAGTTCACCCAAACACGGCCCGGCGCGAGAGCACGCCAGCGCATCCAGGCACCATGCCCCATCTGGAGCCACCCGACGCAAGAAAGAGTGAGGGAGAACCCAGCCCCTCCCAGGAGCCAGTATCCTCCATTATGTGGAGGGGTGGGGCTGGAGAAGGGAGGGGGCAGGGAGAGCTGGGGGAACACGGGAAGGCGGGAGGAAAGAATAAAAGGATGCAGCTGTAAGAGGCCAGGGATGACAACCTGGATGGAAGGCGACAACACTGCAGAACAGAGAGAGGGAAAGTGTCTCACATCCAGAGGGAATGTAGTGGCAGGGACGGTGATGGAACCTCCCTTCCCGTTCAGGAGTCTGAGGCCCCTGCTGCTTGGCTGAGTGGGACACCAAGGTGGCAGAGCCACGGGGGCTGGAAGAATCCAGTGGCAGTGAGGGGGAGTCGTTAGGGTCTTGTGACAATCAGCATTTTAAAAAATCAAAACCAAAAGGATGTTCCCTCATGAGTTTCCTTATTTCATATAACACATCAACAAATATTTGGCTGACCTGGCAGCAGCAATGGTTGCACCAGCTCTGCAATTCCAAATACTATTTTTTTCTGACATACCATAACAAAAGAACATGAACCTGAGAAGTAATTTTGTTCTTCTTTTTCTTTTAACCCTAATTACTATTCATAATTTCAAATTCGTGGTATTAATATTGATAATAGTTCTGTTTGAATTAAACAAATAAACAACTTCTCTGTTGTAATGTGTTCCTCCCCCATTAGTGCTTGATAGGTTTCATATCCCATGAATCATTGCTAACTTTCTTAAGGATGTTGCAGAAACCTTGAAGGAGATGGCTAGCAAATCTCCATAATTTCAGATGATTAGGAATCAGAACTCAATGACTAGCAGCTACCCCAAAACTACCCATCTGTATCAGGTCAGGCAACTTTCCCCCCCGACCTGTCTCCCCCTAACCTAGCCACAGTAATCCACACAATGGTCACTCTAGACTAGGTTACTCTAACTCACTCTATGCAGGGCTGCCCTTGAGGCTTATCTGGAAGTCACAACTAGTCAGAATGCAGTGGCTCATGTCCTTATGGGGACACCGATAACTGCACACATACAACCTGTGTTTCAACAGGTCAGCTTCAAGGTTCTGTTTTTGACCTTTAAGACCCTAAACAGCCAGGGGCCAACATACCTATGGGGCTGCCAGAAAACATTACACTCAACACCTATTGGAAGTCTCTGGCCCAAAGAGCCTTTGGCTATCCTCAACAAGACCCAGGGCCTTCTCAGCCATGACTCAAACACAGTGTAACTCTCTGCCTGCTAACCTCAGGGTCCTGCAGGACTTGTTACAATTCCACAAGGCCTGCAAGGCAGAGATGTTTCACCAAGCAGTGGTTTAAAAAAAGGACAGCAGTGGTTTAAAAAAAGCGAACAAACAACCAGCGTTAACTGCAACTGGCTTATTAACTGCTTTCTCCCCCTCTCCCTCCCATGTTAATGTAAATTGGGGGTTTAGAAATTTTGCACTATGGCGCCATGTAGGTGTTAGGTTTTATGGCTTTGTATTTTAGACTGTTTTAATGTATTTTGTATGACTTCGTTGCAGACTGCTCTGAGCCTGCTCATGGGGAGGGCAGTATAGAGGCTTCATGAAATAAATAAATAATCAGGGGGAAAGGCAAGGGTTTCAAAGTTGACCACCCACTTTAGGATCGTCATGGGAGTTGCAGTGCCGAGTGAAGTGAATTGGAATGTCCTGGCCTATATAATTGCCAGACACCCTACCCCCCATTTTTCTTTTGACTCTGAAAGGCACAGATCATCAGAAAATAAAGCTAGGCATATGATATTTGGACAGACAATTCAAAGTGATGGTGGGAATTGCCATGCTCCCAAATGAAGGGAATCAGGAGACTCTGGCCCAGGTTATCTGCAATGCTATTCACAATGGAAGCTAAGGGGAACTGTAGCACACATAAGTCAACTGAAAATAAAGCTAGGACCCTCAAAATGGGCCACCACCAACAGGATGATCATGGGAGTTGCAGTGCCAAACATGAAAAGAATAGGAATATCATTAACATAAGAAC